AAAAATTATGTTTCCAAACCTATAGTATACTTGTTAGATTCTTGTTTTGACTAATGTTTTTCAATTTTTATTATTTTCTACAGTTTGGACTGAATTCTAATTTTTCTTGGTTACAAATCTTCAAAATAATGTTTTCAATTTTTTTCCTTCTTTTCTCCCCCATTTTCCCCAATTTGGGAGTCACTGAAAACTAAGCTGTGCTTTTGTAAAGCCCTGCAAACTGAAGCTAGAAAACTTAAACTTTAGAAGAAAATAACAACAACCTTATTTACACACATAAGCCCCTTTCATACCTGCCTAGTGATGTATGGACTTCAGAGTAATGTGGCCTATAGCAGTTTTCCAGGATTGTTCCTTTGTTTGTTGTTGTTTTTCTCCCTTCCTCCCCTATTTTTTCTTCACAGGACATGAGACTTCACAAACTGCTAAAACCGTTTTAGCCATGAAAGATCAGAAACAACCTGAGACCAGACTCATTTTTTTCTAAAATGCTTTCTCTGAGAAATTTTATTTTTAAAAATTTATTTATTTATTTTTTAGTGTGTTTCAGAAAGATGAAACATTTTTAAAAGAAAAGTGAGAAGAAATGTGAATGGAAAATAAAAACTCAGGAACCCAATTCACTATGCCACAAGGAAAAAATTAAGCTAAAATCTGAGTCATGCAAGAAACCACCCTTTCTTTTGTTCTAAGCAGACAGCTACAGATAAAAGGTTAAATATCTCCACGGGTAGCTACTCTATGTTCACTTTATCTTATATAAAGTGCTGATTTACTGAGTGCCAGATGAATACATACTTGACTATTCCCCTATCTGCTCCTTTTCTCCTGCAACACATAGATTACCACTTCCTTCCTCCTTCCCTTCTGGCCTGCTTTTCCCCTTTAAATATTGAAGCCCTCAAAATCATCTTTGGAGGAAGGCAAAGACCATTTTAGTGACTCTGTCTTAAATCTCTTCTGGGCATGTCCTTAACCATGGCAAAAAAAATTTGTTAATTGATTGAAACCTGTCTCAGATACGTTTTGGTTCATAAGCAGCATCCCCACATCTTGGCAGCAATTTTCTGTCTTAGTTTGTTTGGGTTGCTATAACAAAATATCATAAACTGAGTACCTTATATAAACAACAGAAATTTATATTCACAGTTCTGGAAGCTGAGAAGTCCCAGATCAAGGTGTCGGTAGATTTGGTGTCTGGTAAGGGCCCATTTCCTGGTTCATATATGGTGCCTTCTAGCTGTGTCCTCACATGGTGGAAGGAATGAACTAGCTTTCTGGGGCCTCTTTTACAAGGGCGCTAATCCCATTCATGAGGGCTGCATCCTCATGACCTAATTATCTCCAAAAGGCTCCACTTCTTAATACTATCACATTAGTGATCAGGTTTCAATATGTGAGGGGAACACAAACATTTAGACCATAACAACTGCTAAGTAAAACCAATAAAAAATAGATAAAACTGCCACTATTGGCGACAGAGCGAGACTGTCTCAAACAAACAAACAAGCTGCCACTATTCACATGAAATGTAATTGTCCACTAGACTTTCAACTGACAAACTACTAGGATGAATAAGGAAGGACAGCAAGGGGGTCAGATACAAGATTGATACATAGAAATCAATAGTTTTCCTATAGATTGACAATAACCAATTAGAAAATACAATAGAAAAAAAGATTCTGACCAGCTGCAGTGGCTCATCCCAGCACTTTGGGAGGCTAAGGTGGGCGGATCATGAGGTCAGGAGACCGAGACCATCCTGACCAAGGTAATGAAACCCTGTCTCTACTAAAAAAAAAAAATATATATATATATATATATAAAAATTAGCTGGGCATGGTGCCTTGTGCCTGTAATCCCAGCTACTCAGGAGGCTGAGGCAAGAGAATTGCTTGAACCTGGGAGGTGGAGGTTGCAGTGGGCCGAGATCGCGCCACTGCACTCCAGCATGGCGACAGAGCGAGACTCTGTGTCAAAAAAAGAAAGAAAAAAGATCCCAATGGTTGGTTACATCAATGAAAGACTATAAAATACCCAGCATAAACTAATAAGAGCTTTATGAGGCTCATATATATAGTATATACAACATATATATATATGAAGATCACAAAATAATGGAGAGGTACATTAAGTTCCTGCACAGCAAGACAATATTAAAAAGGTATCAATTATTCATAAATTAATCTACATAGTCAATGTAGTTTTGGTGGGATTTTTCAATGGAATTTTGATTCTGAAATACTTTTGGAAGAACAAGTGCCCAAGAATAACTGGGAATAATATTTTGAAAAAGAATAAGGAGGGGAGAAATTGGTTTATCATATATTAAATAAGTAAAACCATAGAAATTAAGATAGTGTGATATTGGTATAGGAAAATGCCAATAGTTCAGTGGAACAGAATATTTGTATGTGTGTGGAAGCAGAGTGGAAGGGTTGGACTGGTTAAGGAGTAGTATAGGGACAAAATTTGGGGGGAAAAGGATGGTTATTTTCTTAAGCCATTCACAAAAGTAAAGTCCATATTGATTAAGGTGCTGAAGATAAATAGTAAAATTCTAGAAGTTTTAGAAGAAAATGTAGGAAAATATACATATATTCTTGAATTAGGGAAATACTTTTTAAACCACAAAATGTGAGAATCACAAGGAAAAGATTTACTTACATCAAATTTAAAATTATATATAACAAAAATGACCACAAGCAAATGTAAAAGACAAACTAGAAGGAGCAATCTGCAACATATACAACATTCAAAGAAGTATTACAGATATGTAAAGAGCTGACAAAAAATAAACATCAAGAAAGACAAGACAACCCAATGGGAAAATGGGCAAAAGATATGAACACTGTTTGCTTAATTCCAAGAAGATAATTGAGTAACCAAAAAAAATATGTTGGTATCAAGATGCTCAACCTTGGCAATAATCATAATAATTAAGAAATAAAATAATCATTTCCACCTACCAGACTGTCAAAAATTTAAAAGAATTACAATATCTTATATGGGAAAGAGTAGGAAAAGGGTGGTCTCAACAACCCTTTTGATGGAAGCATACGCTGGGTCGGCTCTTTAGGAAGGTGATGATTAAAATGTGTAACTTTTCACTTAACAATCCCACTTTCTTGGCATCTGTCTTAGAGCAATACTCGGGTGTGTACACAAAGAGGAGGCAGCTTACTGTAACACTTTGGAAATGAATATCTAGGAACAATTTTATGCATCAGTTGGGGAATCTTTAAATAAATAATTGTACATCTATACTATGTACTATTATGCAACAATTACAAATAATTTTTACCTGTATTTACTGGTAAAAAATTTCAAGGCCAATTAAGTGAAAAAGCAAGTAGAACAACAGATTCGGTGTGATACCATTCATGTAAATAACAGCATCAAACAAAAGCGGCCACACTACTACACTTTTATACGGATGTAAAAGCTTAGAAAAAGATTTGGAAAGATACACACCAACATGATAATAGTGGTGACATCTGAAACTGAGGGTAATAGTTGAAAGAAACTATTGTTTGATTTGTATCTTTTGACTTTTAAAAAATAAGACTATGTTGATGTTTTAATTACACCATTGTACCATTAAAAGCTTAGCAATGAAATGGGACTGTGGAGTATGATTCCATTTCTATTCTATACTTATTTCACTCTCTTTTGAGCCCACTCCAATTGGGCTTTTATCCCCACAGTTACAATGAAGCTGGTCCTATCCACATAACCAATGACTTCTACATGCTAGATCTAGTAGTTAGTTCTCAGTCCTCATCTTCCTAACCTCTGAGTACCATTTGAGCCTGTTGATCATTCCTGCCTCTTTGAAATTTTATTGGTATCTAGGAGACTTCCTGGTTTTTCTTCTACATCACAGGATGCTTTTCCTTAGTTTCTTCCTCATGTCCCCAGCTTAACAATGGAGTGCTGCAGGGCTCAATCTCTGGGCTCTTGCCCTCATATTTTCTCAGCAGCCAGCAGTCATTAAAAATGCCAGTTGGATTATATTACTTCTCTGCACAAATTCTGCAGCAACTTCCTACCTCACTCCCAGTGAAAAAGATCTAGTCCTCAGATCTCTCTGACCTCATACCCTAAGATTCTCCTCCTTGCTTACTCCACTGTAGCCACACTGGCCTCTTGTTCTAGAAGGAGGCACTTGCTGTTCCTTTGCCTGGAACACCTTTCCCGTGAGATTGTCCTGGCTCATTCTCTCACCTCCTGTAGGTCTTTGCTCAAACACCTCACGTTCTCAGGAAAGACTTCCCTAGGCACCCTGTGTAAACTTGCACCCTACCTCCAACCCCCGACACTTTCACTTACATCATCTAATGTTTTATATATTTACTGATTTATTCTATATATTATTGCTCTCACCATCACCTCCACTTCCCACACGTTAATGTCACTGAGACAGGGGATTTGTTTGTTTTTTTCACTGCTGATACTCCATTACAGGCTAAACCTATGACAGGTACTTGGCAAATGGTAGGTGTTTGGCAAATGGTAGGTACTCAGTAAGCATTTGATGAATAAATGACATAAAATAAAAAATAATTAAAATAAAATGTGAATATAAAGGATGAAAGGAAACATACTGGAAAAGTTCAAATTTTAACTATTACATTGTCTACTTCTCAGTGATTTGACATTTAAAAAGTGTGCATATGTTACTTTTATCATAAAAATAAAGATATGTATCAAAAATATAATGGCAGATTATTTCTTGATGTGAACATAATTGCTACCGTTTATTGAATACTGAAAATATTCAATCTTGTTTTGATCTTCATAAGAATCCTGTGAAAGTATGACTATCACCAAGAGATGAAGAAAGTAAGACTCAAAGAGGGTAAGCAACTTGCCCAACATCACAAGGTTAGTATGTGTTGGGGCTGGGATTAAAATCTGGCTCTACTGGCCTTCTACACCTGATACTTCCAATATGCAATCCCTCCTCCCAGGAAAAGCTAAGAAGTCAAACTACTCACTTGATTGCACTTTATCCAACAAATCTTGGAGCCAGCTTTCTTCTGTTTGTACTGATATTGGAATTCCTGGAGACAAATTATGATGAATATTTCTGAAATTTTGACAAAAATGTTAGTTTTCAGTATACTTCTATAGTTGTTAGCAGGTCTTCTAAATATAGAACATTTAATAATCCATTAATTAATGCACATATAAAATATTGATTTTGTTATTTGAAATATTTTCTTCCATTCTTATCTCTTCAGTAAAGTTAACTCAGTGTGCTTGCATCAAATCTTTTTTTGGGGGATGAGCTGGGAGGATAGCTTGAGCCCAGGAGTTCAAGACCAGCCTGGGCAGCATGGTGAGACCATGTCTCTACAAAAAATAAAAAAATTAGCCAGGTGTTGTGTTCCGTGCCTGTAGCCACAACTACTTGGGAGGCTGAGGCAGGAGGATGGCTTGACTCCGGGAGGTGGAGGCTGCAGTGAACCATGATTGCACTACTGCACTCCAGCTTGGGAGACAGAGCAAGTCTCTGTCTCAAAAACAAACAAACAAACCACGACCATACACTGAAGCGTCCTTGTCCTAACTCTAGTAATAGTAGGATTACCCAACTTGGCTCCTCCCTGCCCAGACACTCCACAGGAAGTGACTCTAATAAGCCCCGCCCACCTGTACAGGAATCATAGCAGACTCTCCCATGCAAGCTCTGTCAGAAAACAGAACTACTAAGCTAGGGAAGGATTCCATTCTAGCTATTTATTAGTCATTCATTTAAAAATGTAAATGGGCAACAAAGGATTACCACTTAAGAAAAATCAGTAGCATTGAAGAGAAAAAGCAAGAGAAATAAACAGAACAACTGACTTTGAAAGAAAAAATAATAGAAAGAACAAAGGAGAACTTTAATATATTAGAACAGTGCCCTCAAAGAGATAAAAACAAAAAACCACAAAAAACAAACCAAATGATTTTGAACAGCAACAATCAGAGAACAAGTACTGGTTCTTGGAAATGACAAATATGAATCCTGCAATAAAAAAATTCTGTACAAGGGCTGCATAATAGCAGATAAACAAACATCAAAAATCCTGAAGATACTGAAAATACAAAGGAAATGTTATTAAAGATGGAGAATCTATCGAAGAGGTTCAACAGCATCTAGGAGGAGTTCTGAAGAAAAGAAGAAAAAGGGAGGCAGTAATTATATACCAGAATGGTCTGAGGATAAGACTGGTGAGGCAGTATGGGCTACTAGGAGGCAATGAAGCAATGTCTTTAGAACTCTGAGGGAAAAATGGTTTTAAATCTCTTGTTTTTGGCAGGTTGGTTTTCTTTTGTTTTGTTTTTTTTTTAACAAATCAAGTATGAGGGCAAAATGAAGAAATTTCAAGGCAGGCAAGAACTCAGAAATTTGACTATCCATGAGACCTACATAAAAAATTCACCCGAGGAGTTTCCCCAGCAAAAGGAAAAAGAACAAAAGAAAGAAGACAATATGGGAACCAACAAAGTATGACTGGGGAGCCAACCCAGAAAAACTGTAGATAGAACAACGGAGAGTCAAAAACGTTTTTTATTTATTTATTTTTTGAGATGAAGTCTCACTCTGTTGCCCAAGCTGGAGTGCAATGGTGCGATCTTGGCAAACTGCAACTTCCACCTCCCGGGTTCAAGTGATTCTCCTGCCTCAGCCTCCCAAGTAGCTGGGACTACAGGCATGCGCCACCATGCCAGGCGAATTTTTGTATTTTTAGTAGAGACGGGGTTTCACTATGTTGGCCAGGCTGGTCTTGAACTCCTGACCTCGTGATCTGCCCTCCTCGGCCTCCCAAAGTGCTGGGATTACAGGAGTGAGCCACTGCGTCTGGCAAAAAGTTTACTTTTTAAGAGGCAAGTTTTACAGACATAAGATTATATTTTCTTGTCCATAGATTCAATCATACTACTGGTTTGTTAACATGGAAGTGTGAGTATTGTTTATTGGTTTTCAATTTTTAGAAACAACTCCAGAGCACTTCAATTATAATTAACAAGCCCCATAATATAAGCATAATAAAGCTTGGGAAAGTAATATAACTTTATATAAATATATATTGTATTTTAATCACATCATATAGTTTGTTGTTAATAGGAAAAAAAGAGGAGAGAAGAGAGATGGAAGGAGGAAGTGCATTAACATGTTAATTTTTCATAATAGTCAGTAGATACTAAAATTGATAAATCAAGAAGTAGAGGTTTAAATATCTCAAAGTCCTAAATGTTAGAAAAACTAAAAATAATATAACTACCAAAGTGGAGAGGTGGGAATTCAATACATAAGAAATTGATAAACCAAGAAATGAAAACGTTATTTTAAATAATAATGGAAACAAAACTGAAGGTGAATGGGAGTAGGAGTAAAGAAGGGCATGGAGATTGTCACTTTTTTACCTTTGTATAGTTTGATTGTTTTTTAACCATGCGCATACCTTATCTCTACTATAAATTGAATTAAAAGGATAACTAAAAACATCTAAGTGAGACAGAACAATTCTCCTTAAACTTAAGAATTTAAAAGTTGCTTACAAAAGCAAAGTTAGGGTAACTAGTAATTCAAGATCACTGACTCAGGTTTGGTGTGAGATTTCAGGGTGTATTTACAAAGATGTTCCAGAAGGCCTTTCTCTGGTATCTTCTTCTTATAGTTAAAGTGCCTGAAGGCTAATAGCAATAACAAGAAAAAGAAGAGACGGAAGGAAAAAGGAAAGGCCATTATTTCCACTCTCTTCCACAAAAGGTGTCCCTGGTCACTCTTGCATTTAGCCAATTAAAGCCTATATTCTAAATTCTCAAGCACTTACAATTGTACACATGACATATAGTTATTCTTTCATGTTACACTGATAAGTGGACATGTAATCTCTAGAGCTAGGTAATAAGCTGGGGATAAGTGGGAACCTGTATCTCTTCCAAAGTGTCTACCAGTGTATACTAAAAAAAACTTTAAAAAATAAATAAGTCATAAATGCCCTGGATTATTTTACTCTACTTCCTAACATGTTTATTCAAAAGGTAAACATTATTGGGTTCAAAAAATGTGAAATTTGAAAACATTTTCTTACCTATCTATACTCATTTCGGACATGTCTTTCCTAAATGTCTGAAATATTTTAGGGAAACCTGTTGAATGAAACATTTAAAAATCAGCTACTCCCTCTAAATCAAAAGGGCAATTCTGCCCCCTCCCAGGAACACATGGCAAGGTCTGAAGACATTTTTGATCATCGCAAGGGTGTGTGCTCCTAGCACAGACAAGTGTAGAGCACAGGCATGCTGCTAAACATCCTATAATTCACAGGACAGTCCCCAACCCTCCCCAACAAAGAATTATCCAGACCAAAATGTCAATACTAGAGCTTGAGAAACCTACTCTAAAAGACTTCTCTGCTTCTTTTTTCAAGAAAGTGACTGGAGTGGCTTCAGTACAGGATGTTAAACACAATAGAGAGTTGTTGTTGTTTTTTTTTTTTTTGCAGGACTGTTTTAGTAGTACAGCACCCTTGAGGCACTTCTCTGGAAATAATATGAGTGTGTGTGTGTGTGTGTGTGAGAGAGACAGAGAGAGAGAGAGAGAGAGACAGAGAGAGAAAGAGAGGGGGAGAGGGAGGGAAGGAAGAGGGACGGGGAGAGGAGGGAGAAGGGATAGGGGAAGAGAGAGAGAGAGAGAGAGACAGAGAGAGAGAGAGAGAGAGAGAGAGATGTAACCGTGTGAATGCACGCAAAAATGTTATAAAAATGAGCACTCCCATCAGCCTGGGCAACATAGTGAGACGCCAAATTAGCTGGGCGTGGTGGCGTGTGCCTGTAGTTCCAGCTACTCGGGAGGCTGCGATGGGAGGCTTGAGCCCAGGAGGTCGAGGCTGCAGCCACTGCACTCCAGCGTGGGCGACCGAGCGAGACTCTTGTCTCAAAATAAAAAAGCACTCCATACAGCAATGCCCAAGTTCAACTTTTATAGTGTTTCGCCTATATCCTAAATCGTGCATGATCACAACAGCTCAGCCAAGGGTTCAGTGCCTCTGACAAGGACGTGAGAGAGATTAGGTGTATGGAACGGTGCATGCATTTAGAAATCAGGCACGACGCGCAGGTCGACGAAGGCACGGGAGTGGGTGGACCAGGTGCCCCCTGGGGACCAGAAAGCCCTCGAAGAAGGGGTGGGTCGGGGGCGGTACTTTTATGCGAGGAGGCACTGTAGGGTGGGCTGACGCTCGGCATTTCGGTGCTGGTCGCGCTCTGGCTGGGCATGCTCGTAGAGCTCAGGCTAGGGCTGACGATGCTGGCTAAGCGGGGGCGCACGTCTGGGAAGTCGTAGTCGTAGTCACCGCTGTCCATGACCTTCCAGAGGTACTCATCGCTGAACTTCTCAGGGGCCTCCAACTCCTGCTCTTCCCCCACAAACTCCTCCTCCACCTCCTCTTCCTCCTCCTCCACCTCTTCCTCCTCCTCCTCCTCCATCTCTTCCTCCTCCTCTTCTAACTCCTCAGACTCCTTCTGGTTCTTCTTCCCCGGATGTCCGAAGCTGCTAGGCGAGCGCAAATGGGCCATGGCTGGCGGGAGGCGGGATTATAGCCAGCTCAGTGGCCGCGGCCCCTGTAGGCTCTGGCGGGCGCGCGCCTTTGTTGTGCGTTGGTCTCCCCTGGCAACTGCCTGCCCTGCGCCACCGAGCCTCCCGGATTTAAAGCGGCAGGACCCGATTAGCCGGGTAGAATGTGGGTGCCGGCGGCCGGCAGGGGTCACCGCAAGCTTCTTTCTATCCCTGCTCTCCAGCGTCCGGCGTCTCTGAAACCCCTGGCAGCCTGCGGAGAAGCGATCTTTTCTTCGTCTCTCAGCTTATTTGGAGCATTTTTTTTTTTTTTTTTAAACGGGTGGAGGAAGTGGCTTTTAGCGACGGACACACACAGTGCCATTTGATATTGCGAATGCTGGAGTCTGGTTATTGAGTAGACAGATGCTTGCTGGAGCTTCCAGTGAAACTTTATTTACAAAATCAGGCGCCAGTCCTTGGGCCCTCTTTTGCGGATATTTTTAAAATTACCTTAAATATTAATAAGCGTATTAAAATTGCCTTAAATGTTAGTTGTCTTAAATATGTTAGATTAATATTAATTAATCTTGATTAGCGAGATTTTTAGTGTCCCATAAATTTTGCTCGTTGCTGTAATCTGGGTCCTGCTTGGCCCATCTATCCATCCTGGAGTAGAAAATCCCGAAGCATCTGGCCACCTAGATACTACCTGCGTCCTTCTGGGACTTTGTATTTACTTAAATTTTTGTTTTTTATATATATATTATTTTTGAGAGACAGGGTGTCACTCTGTCACCCAGGCTGGAGTGCAGTGGCGGCATCGTGGCTCACTGCAGCCCTGAACTCTTGGACTCCAGTGATCCTTCCACCTGGGTCTCCCAAGTGGCTAGGACAACAATGTGTGCCACCACGCCTGACCAATTTTATGTATTATATTATATTATATTTATTTTGAGACGGAGTCTCGCTCTGTCGCCCAGGCTGGAGTGCAGTGGCGCGATCGCAGCTCACTGCAACCTCAGCCTCCCGGGTTCAAGCAATTCTCCTGCCTCAGCCTCCCGAGTAGCTGGGACTACAGACACATACCACCACACCCAGCTAATTTTTTGCATTTTCAGTAGAGATGGGGTTTCACCGTGTTAGCCAGGATGGTCTCGATCTCCTGACCTCGTAATCCGCCTGCCTCAGCCTCCCAAAGTGCTGGGGTTACAGGCATGAGTCACTGCGCCTGGCCTATATTATATTTATTTTGAGACAGGGTCTTACCCTGTCGCCCAGGCTGGAGTGCAGTGGTGCTATCTCAGCTCCCCGCAACCTCTGCTTTCCGTCTTAAGCTGATCCTCCAGCCTCAGCCTCCCGAGTATCTGGGACTACTTTTTGTAGAGATGGCGTCCTGCTATGTTGCCCAGGCTGGTCTCAAATTCCTGGTCTCAAGTCCGGGGCTCGAGAGATCCTCCCAACTCGGCCTCCCAAAGTTCTTAGGATTACAGACGTGAGCTACTGTGCCTGGCTAGGGAATATTTTTGAAAGACAAGATCTTGCAGGCTAAAGGAGCAGGCAGCACAGATGAGAGAGTACATTTGAGTTGCTTTAAAAGGAAGGGCAAAATGGGGTGACCAGAGAGGAAAGTGAAAAGCTTTCCAGCAGGCTCAGGGCAGGAAAGGAGGGCCAGAACAGGGAATTATGTATACAGATATTGAGGTACAAATAAGATAAGTGGAATTTAAAAAAGAAAATAAGAAAAAGCACAATTCTTTTCTGGGCAATAGTAGCAGTTTGATGCTGGAAGCTATCTTAGAAGCTATGAAATTCAACCAGGGTCCTCAGAGAGCAGACTGGAAGTCAGGATGCGGGGATGTGACATGGGGCTGGCAGACAGCGAGGGTGACAGTGCTTGTGCTTACTCTGAAGTGCCTGCTCCAGCTCAGTTCTGTGACTGCCCTGGCATTTTCTCAATTGTGTGGTGAATTAATTTGTTTAACTACTCCTTGTTTAGACCCTCTATTTAAGGCCTTTTTTGAACATTTTATGGAATCTCGTTCCCTTAGATCTACTTACTACGCAAAGAACAGTGTCTTATTTTCCCATGAGTTGATGCCACTCTCTTGTTTTGGCTGTTCAGAGATAATATGATGCTGGGTCAGTTTACATTTTCCCCTTCCCCGTTCCTGGTGTCTATCTTGACTCATGAATTTGAGATTTGAGAACCAGGCACCTGCCCTGACTAACTGTGACTTTGGGGTTATTGAGCCTCAGTTTCTTGGTGTGTAGAATGGAAATATCAGTAGCTTTCCACTTAATTCATGGCGCTATTTTGAGATAAAATTTAATTATTGTTTATTTTCTTCATTTTTTTTTTTTTTTTCCTAAGATGGCATCTCAATGTGTTGCCTAGGCTGGTCTTGAACTCCTGGGCTCAAGCAATCCTTCCACCTTGGCCTCCCAAAGTGCTGGGATTACAGCTGTCTGGCCTATTTTCTTTTTGAGGATTGATTTTGTATTTTATTTTATTTTTTTAGGACCACATACCTCCGTTTAGAAAATGTTAGCTTCTAATGTATTGAATGCTTCAGAGGTATATTAGTTCGGTTTCACACTGCTATAAGGAATTGCCTGAGGCTGAATAATTTATAAAATAAACAGGTTTAATTGACTCACAGTGCCCCAACTAGGACTACTGTGGAGGCCTCAGGAAACTTACAATCATGGCGGAAGGTGAAGGGGAAGCAAGGCACGTCTTACTTGGTGGCAGGAGAGAGAGAGAGAGTGTAGGGGAAACTGCCACTGCTTTTTTTTTTTTTTTTTTTTTTTTTTGAGACAGAGTCTCGCTCTGTTGACCAGGCTGGAGTGCAGTGGCACAATCTTGGCTCACTGCCAGCTTGGCCTTCTGGGTTCAGGTCATTCTCCTGCCTCAGCCTCCCAAGTAGCTGGGACTACAGGAGCCTGCCACCACACCCGGCTAATTTTTTGTCTATTTGATAGAGACGGGGTTTCACCATGTTAGTCAGGATGGTCTCGATCTCCTGCTCTCAGGTAATCCACCCGCCTTGGCCTCTCCAAGTGCTGGGATTACAGGTGTGAGCCACCGTGCCTGGCCATGTTAGTTAAACTATAATCACCCTACTGATCTATGAAACACTACGTCTTATTTCTTCTATTGGGTTAAATGATTTAATGTCTGCAATGCCCTTAGCATTGTGCCTGGCACATGGTAAATAAATATTAGCTGTTGTTATTCCGACCCAAAACAAGAACATTTTTTATTGTTACAGAAAAAATAGGACCATTGATTATGTTTCACCATTTAAGTGGCTATTGTTTGCGTGCTTTTGACAGTTCTATCCCATGTCCAATACATTTCCTTTCCCCCAGAGCTCCCTCCCCTCCACCCTCAACCTATTACAACAGGGTGTAATAATATAGATGAACACTAGAGGGCAGCATGCAATTGCAATGAAGAAAATCGGCATCAGCACACTTGAAATTCAGACAAGAAGACAGAAGATGTCTAGTATCAAAGGAAAGTGAAATGTCTTCCTTTAATATAGTGTCTTTGTAGTGTACTTCTATAGGAGGAAAGTATTATTACTCTGTCGGATGAGTATTCCTACTGGAAGGATAGCTGCGACATTTAAAAAGTCCTGCCTGTATGTGCTTGCCATAAAGATGTCACATAACCATTTCCTCACGTGCTGTTCACTCCACACCCCAGCTCTCCTGAGAGCACTTAGCTTCTCCTGTGAGCTGGTTCCTCCGATGGGAGGCATTTGGAAGCCCACATTAGTATAGTGCTGCCTTACAACGCACTTTAATGTAGTATCTTGTCTCTGGGAGGCCCAGGAGTGCTTCAAATTCTAGGCTTCCCTGAGATGTCCAGTGAGTTTCTGCTGAGGTGTATGTATGCTCACTTGGCCTGAGTCCCTCAGCGGCAGGGAACGTACCCCATCTTCACCTTTGTGTCCCCACCTTTGTGCAGTTTGCAGTGCTGGGCATGCCCTGGAGAAGGTGGATAATGTCTATTGGACTAAACTGCTTCATGAGCTGCAGCCAGAAAAAGAGGGAAATGTATGCTCACTTTAAGCCTGAGCAATGGGACTCTAAACTGCACCCCTAACCAGTGAATTTTGTTCATTATTTTTCTGTATTATAAAAACAGTTCGTGCTCATAATGGGTAAATCACACAAAAAGAACATCTAAAATATTCATAATCCCATCCATCCAATATTAACCTGGGGAATACTACAGATTCTTTTAACCTTATGTTAGAGTATAATATATAAATATGTGTGTGTGTGTACGTATATATAGTGTTTACACTTATGGCAGCATGGAACACCTATCTTTAAAAATTTTTTTTTGAGACGGTGTCTATACTCTGTCACCCAGGTTGGAGTGCAGTGGTGTGATCTGACTCGCTGCAACCTTGACCTCATCCTCCCACCTCAACTTCCTGAGTAGCTGGGACCACAAGCATGCACCACCATGCCCAACTAATTTTTTGTATTTTTGGTAGAGATAGGGTTTTGCCATGTTGCCCAGGCTGGTCTTGAACTCCTGAGCTCAAGTGATCCACCTGCCTTGGACTCCCAGAGTTCTGGGATTACAGGTGTGAGCCACCGTGCCCAGTCCTACATCTATCTCATCTATCTTTTTTTTTTTTTTTTTTTAAACTAATCCCTTTCTTTTGGGAATTTAAGCTGTTTCTCAATTTTTGCTTTTTAAAAGAGCAGTCTGGTGAATATTCGTGTAGCTAAGTGTAAGCCCACATTCTTTATTAGTGTCTTAGGATAAATTCCCAGAGGCAGAATTTCTGGGTGATGGGTAATTTACATTGTCACCAACAGTGACAGTGCCCTTGATCAGATGAAGAGTTTTAATTAAATGTCACACCAGAACTCCATAATCTTGTCTCAGTCTTGTCATCGCTGCTCAAAACATTTGGTGAACTCTGTTTGGTGATCCAGGCTATGACTCATATAAGAAAATAAATCTTAATCTCTCATCTTGCCTTTGATCTTTGACTGTTCGAGAAAATCTAATTTACCACAAAAGGACAGAGACAGCAACT